CACATTATTTAAGCTACACTAACGTGACGTTTAGGCGGTTCGTTTAACTCTTATACGTGATGTACGTTTTTTTTTTGGGGGTGGGGTGGGGGTAATCAAAGTGTTCCAAAACGCGACATTAATTTCTTGACGACCTAATATTTGGTTCTGAACACGGATGTATGTTGTAGGGAAAATTATTGCACCTTCAAGATTGAAAACCCGTTTATGTTCGTTCATAACGAGCTTATGTTGTGATAAGAACAGATACGTTTAATGTTGATAAGGTCACTTTGTCACCTTGACGTAACGACAAGACTGCGTTAAGTCACATGCGTGTGGTATTTTTTATTTATTTATATCGAATTATTCGTTGTATTTTAAAACACAAACCACTTGTACCACAGTAAACAGAAGTGAATTCTTACTACATACTCTACAGGTTCCAGCAATTTCAAACTTGTGGTTTCAATAACATTAAGTATAAAGGTAACAAAAACAAGTGATACGTTCTGCATATTAATTTATTTTATTTTTTCGCCCTCTTAACTCAAATTGTTTCCTTTAAAGTAATGGGAAATCCCTTCGTACATTAAGAAAACTTACTACAAAACATTTTATCAATTCATACACATACACTTCTGTTGTTCGACCCATTGTCTAAGTTACTTTACGTGAAAGGTTCCTTGTTGATATATTACCATGTTCTTGATTACGCCTGCTCTAATTATCTTATGAAACAATATAATAAAATTAGCTTAACAGTGCAGGGTGTTACCATGGACTCCTTTCTGAGATTTTTGATCGCAGATCTGTATTAAACAGGTTTGAAAGGACGAATAAATTGTATTTTTTAACTATAAATACACAAATTCAGTAGGTATTTAATTCACATATATAGGTCAAGAATTGCTTTATTTTGACCAACACACACAAGTTTCTCCATTGCTCGACGCTTTATACCAAGACTTGAAATAAAACTTGATAAATATAATCACACAAAAGGAGAACCTTCTCTTCATCTCCCTCTTTATAACAGTTCACAGTTGTTATGTGCATAATTTAAAATGATGGTGCTTAATCAAACATTTCAGATTGTTTTATAATTTTAACATACGAGAGATCAAACTAGTATCTAGCAGAAGTTATTCACGCTTGTACTTTTGTTACCTTTACAGATTCACCTGGTTGTTGTTAAGCGCAAAATTACACAATGGAATATCTATGCTCTGCCCACAGTGTGTATCGAAACTTTAGCGTCGTATGTCTCCAGACTTACACTAAGGGTTTTACAGGTTGTAAAACAGCTACTGATCTTAAATTTTAATTTTTCTGTTTCGAATGTCGCACACAACAAATCCAGTTTATGACACTAAATATTCTATACAAATTGAAATTATACGCATGAAATCTGAGTTTCTCTGTCACAACTGAATGATACATTCCATTCTTCAAAACTCTGTAATTGTCAAACTGTACTCAAGTACTACTACCTTTTTATATATTGAAATTGTAGCCATTTTTGTTTCTTCTAATAGAGTAAATGGTGTGCTTACCTTTCGCTTTCTAGCGTCGAGTGATGACTGTGTGATTTCATAGTTCTTCGGTTTTGAAATACTATAAGAAACACTCTTGGATCTTCCGACCTCTTTACCAATCTCTAAGGGGTGTTTCTTTGTAATGTTGTTCGATTCACTGTTGCAATTTCTAGCTAAGGTTTTGGAGTCCATAATAGGCTTAAATTCAAGAGTTATTTTTTCATCATGTACACACAAGGGGTGTCTTACAGTTTTACATTCTTTGTTTTTCGAGTACAACCCAAGCTTTTGTTTATTAGCCGGTTCCAATTGAGGAGACAACTTGGCCGAAAATGAATCACCGGCTTCGGCACTTGGCGATATCAACTGATTTAAATGATGGAAAGCCCAGTTTTTAAAAGCATTCGAATCATTAGATCTTAGTGGAAGACCTAGGTTATCAATTTGGGTTTGAGATAAAGAAAGGTTACTTGGATCCAACTCGTTGATTATTTTAGTATCTTCGCAATGGCTGTAATCAATGCAACGTTCACTAACTTTATCCTGACTGTAAGACTCGACAGCATCAGCATTTTCAGAAACTTCATAAATGACATCTTTTTCTGTTAATGGTAAGTTAAATGACATATGATTTTGTAATAAGTCCTCGAAATCACGTCGTAGATGTTTTTCTTCTTTAACTTCGTGACCAACAAACGTTTCGTTGAAATCCATTCTTTTTCCATAGTTGCTCAAATATTGAAGTTCATGTTTACCGATATTGTCCTGGCCCTTATTAACAGTCGAGAGTGCATCTTCTTCTTCGTTATCTTTACAGATGGATTTCGAAAAACCGTCTTCATTTTTTACTTCATCTTTAAGAAATAACGGATTTTTGATGGAGTCTGGTAATTGTGACCTAAAACTGTCATGACGCTCAGAATGATCACAAGAAAAGGAATGGAAGGATTTTTCAGGATCTGCAACTGTTTGTGAAACTACTATGAGCTTATCATTGTCATTCCCTCCGACAGAATTTTCTGGCAAGCAAGAATATATGTCCGTGTTTGACGATTCTGAATCAGACAAATTATTGAACTTATCTGTTGATGGAACTGAATCCATTTTAAAGCAGTTATTTCCGCCGAGATCTTTGTTCTCTTCCGAGTTTGTTAAATCCTGGTTCTTTGGAGATTTAACTGTAATTTTGCATGTAAGGTTTTCGATCCACTTAGCCTCGTTGTCATGATCGACATTTGTTGTTTTATTTTGACCACTAGTCGATTCAGTTTGTGTGGAGTGTTGTAACTCAATTCTTTTTTTGTTTAGCTTCTCGTCATCAGTTGGAGTGAGATCGCTTAACTGATTGTAAATAGATGAATGTTTCCAAGAGTCTTTAAAAGGTTCACAATTATTACATTTTTCTAAAATAGAGCTATTCACTTGTGTTATATCAGCATTTTTCTCTACAAAGGACATATGTGCAGAGGCTTCTTCCAGCTTTTTCTCATCACAAGATGACTTTAGATTTTCTGTTTTTGCCGCTTCTAATACAGAAGAAGCAATTTGGATATTTAGAGTACTAATTTTACTTTTACCTTCTGGATTAGAAAGTCGTTTTTTATTGTAAAATACTGGTGTAGATGTTGGCTGTTTTTTGTGTGAATCAGTATAAGAATACGCTTTACTTTGCACACAACTATATACATTATTAACACTTTTGACAAGTTTTTTCGTCGTTGGAGATGAATAACAAAGTTCAACGTTCCAACCACACTGATTTTGATTACTATTCAAATTATTTATATCTCTGGATATTACTGTGCTATTTTCTTTTGACCCTGTATTAAAATGACTAACTTTTGAAGCACTTTCAATATCTAACTTACTTTCTTCTACCGAAGCTACCTGAGCAGTGTTAATTATAAAACTTCCTACCTGAGGAGCGATGTTTTCTACTGCTCGTGTCTCGCTACGTTCAACTGAGCCACAACAAGATGATGATTCACCGTGTAGAACAACGTGGTTACCGCTGGAAAATGAAGTAGACCCGCCTATACGCTGTTCGTCCGTCAAGAGTCCGCCAGCCCTGGGTGGCAGAGTTTTGGATATACAATCCTCATCATACCAAACTGTGCTTGGACGGTTTCTCCGAGGAAAACTACAAGCTGAAGTGCGTGATTGCTGCTCTTTTCTGCCATGAGTGGAAGACACGGACACGGGGGCGCCTGATCCACTTTCTATTGTGTCAGCGTTATAGTTTGTTCGTCTCGCACGACTTTCGGTCGCCAATTTTAAACACGTAACGCCATCTTTTGGTGTTCTTTGAGAAGTGTGTTGAACACATTCACAGCCTTCCGTTTTACGACCTACATCTTTGTCTCGGTGGTATCTACCTGATGATACATTATTGGCCGGAGAGCTGGACGGAACATTAACAGAGACATTTCCCTGCTCCCCCCTAATAGCTGTCGAGGTAATATGAGATCGGCGATTTCGGTCAAACACTAAATGTTCAATGTTGGTGTGGGCAGGATCACAGGTGAAATCGTGAACTTTCTTCCTATTCGCCTTTTTTCGGGTTTTAATTCCTTCCGCTAGTCGCATCAATTTATTTCGATTTCTGGTAAGACTGACCAAGGTAGCTGCATCCATCCTGTTGGACGTCATCACACCTGGGGTTTATCACAGCCGAACTCGTGTACATCTAAACAAACATGAAGATCACACTTCGTTATGACTATCATATAATCTATATAACTGAAAAATTAAAAAATTAACAATAAATATAAACATGTCGTTATAAATATTAGAGAGAAAACTTGCGTTAGCTAAAAAGTTTAGAAATCTTGACACCATTTTTGTTACTTTTTTCACTTTCTATTCATCTGTTGTATACGATTTTTATCACTTCCAGTAAACTTACTATCTGACGTATTAACATAATGCATAATCAGATGAGGCATCAAAGTAGGTTTTTACAAAAGCACACATTTATAATATTTTTAAAAATCATTGAGGTTGTCTAGATTCTATTAATGATATCATAAAGTTTCTCAAAAACTTAAAATGTATCAATTCTCACTGAACAACAAGGTCTACACCTTGACAACCGAGAAATCAGTCCAGATTAGATAATAATGTCTACAATGTCGTGAAGAACTTATGAATGACTTCACTGGACAACAATGTCTACACACTTTGAAGAGCTGAGGTATCACTTTAATATACTGATTAGGTAATAATATGTACAATATTGTGAAGAGCTGATGAATCATATTGGACAACAAAGGTGAGGGAGTTCTATTAAGCAACAATGTCTACATCTTGAAGACTGAGGGATTAGTTCAACAATGTCTACATCTTGAAGGCTAAGGGATTAGTTCAACAATGTCTACATCTTGAAGGCTAGGGATTAGTTCAGCAATGTCTACATCTTGAAGGCTAAGGGATTAGTTCAACAATGTCTACATCTTGAAGACTGGGGGATTAGTTCAACAATGTCTACATCTTGAAGACTGGGGGATTAGTTCAACAATGTCTACATCTTGAAGACTGGGGGATTAGTTCAACAATGTCTACATCTTGAAGACTGGGGGATTAGTTCAACAATGTCTACATCTTGAAGACTACGAGATTAAGACAATAATGTTTACACCTTAAAAAGTTGGGGTATCAGTCCTCACTGGAAAACAATGTCTTCAGTCTGACGACACAATCATTCAACTTTAATATGATTTTCTATACCCCATCTTAACTTGTTGAGATAAAAATACACTTCGTACAAGCAGTTGCGAGCAGATCAGTATTCTGCGATTTCCCTTAGTACATGCAAAGGGAAGTCTTTAATGTACGTCTGTTACACTATATGATCCCCACAGTTATTAAACTGAAAATGGCATGAAATTTTACTCAAAGTATCACAGATAGCCGATTAATTTATAAAAATGGCATGTTGTAAACTATGCATAATAAAATAGTCATAAAAGCTGAAACAATATTTCAATATAGTTCAAAATTGAAAGTGCCCATAACTAGATTTTTTTTGGACACTTTTAAAAGGTTGTGCGAATAATACACATTTGATTGTTTTAAATACAAAATGATACTAATTAATCTTAGGTAGGCGCTAGAAAACCAGTATTTGAAAATTGTGATTTGAATTTCGTGTAAAGCTACTCGAGGGCTATCTGCGCTAGCCGCCCCTAGTTTAGAAGTGATAAACCATAGTTAATATCACCCATCGCCAACTTTTGGGCTGTTCTTTACCACTTAATAATGGGATTGATCGCCACATTATAACGTCCTCAGAGCTGAAAGGAGGAGCATACTCCGTGGTGGGATTCGAACCCGCAATCCACGAATTGCGAGTCGAGTGCACTAGCCAACAGGCCACGTCAGGCCCTGAAAATCGTGAAAATGGTACCAACAAATATATATATATAAGAAATAAAAAATAAACTGTCAGTGAAGAGATCCAACGACCGTTCACAGAAAGAGAAATTCTTCAGTAGAAAACTTATTTTAACCTGCACAAGTAAGTAGATACTTTCATGCTAGCCTATTTTCACACATTTAAAATACTTAAACCTGATACTTCAATCGCATGCTCAATTTAAAAAGTGATCTGAAGCAGTCTTTGGAATAGCTTAATTGAATGGCATAGTAAGAAGCTTACGATAACAACCACTTCTATAAGGACTTAACCGATTTTGCTTCAATCTGAGAAAAAAGATTTTCTTTAATCCTACAAGTTTATATCAAGATAGGTTTCGTAGCTGAAAAGGAATGCACATAAATGTGTCAATCATGGAGACGGTCAGATAGCTAAATCAGCGTTTCCTCTGATTGCAAAAACGTTCTAACACGCAAGTTTTTGTAGAGCTTAGGAGTTAAATTATAACAAATAAACGTGTTTCTGATTAACACTTTGATAATCTAAATTATTAACTGCTGAATGAAAATGTCCTCAATAGCAGATGTTTTTGTTAAAATTATTTATTCACATTAAGAAATTGTAGCCTATCTCGGAAGTTTCCGAACTTTCAACACCTTAGACATCCTAGATGAAGAGTAAGAACCCAAACTAATGATTTAATTGAACGCTTTAAATTATAATCTCCCTGAGGTACCGTATTTTCATTGTAATTTGATGTTTAAAATACCTTCAAGCATAAACACCGTTGTGTATTCATATTTATTGCAATAAAAAATTCTCGCTGAAAATATCGTTTTGTCGAGTGTGACGGAAATTTTAAAGAGAGAACATTTGCTGATGCATCCAGAGATGGTCTCGCGCACTTTAGTTTGGGAACCACCAGTCTGTTATACTTTATGCGGTTATTACAGTTACACCCTAAAGATGGCGCTAAAACTGCGATGGAACATTTGGAAATGTAAACAATTGAAAAAAATAAAGAATGCACAATAAATAAAAAAAAGATAATTACAAAGCTTATGGAAAGAAATCGTACGAAGACAATAACAAAATATGAAACAGAATAATGTAATGTATAAAACGTGAGAATGAAATACAAAAAAATCTCTTCAGTACCGCCAAATAAAAACAAAACAAAAACGAATATATTTTACTATGACCCGAGCGATATATTTTTATTTATAAATACGTTAATGTTTCTGAAAGCATTAATACATATATCAAAATGGTTAAAGCTGGAGGATTTTGAAATTTACTTGGACTTAATGATATTAAATCGTTAAATCGCAAACTGGGTTGCATTACCTTTGTACTTAGTTTAATTTTACTTCGTGAAATCAAAGCGTAAATCGTCTAAAAACTGAAAGCACACGTCAATATCGCCGTTTTGATCTAAATTTTAGCGAGACGCAAGTAACATCTATTAGTGAAATATTTTTTGTTTAAAGTTAAGCATAAAGCTACACAATGGGCTATCTGTGCTCTGCCCACTACGGGTATCGAAACCCGGTTTCTAGCGTTGTAAGTCCGCAGACATACCGCTGTGCCACTAGGGGGCAGGTGAAATATTTGAAATAAAAGTGTCAAAACGAGACTCGGTTTCGAAAAATCATCTCGGAAAATAGCTGTGAGGTGCAATAGTCAAACTCGGGATATCGGGAAATTCTAGTTGTCATCGAAAGAAAAACATAAGGAAATTTCCTAACAAATAAGGTGAGGTAAAAACACTGTTCCATTCCTTAACCCCCTTGGTGCTTTTCCATTTACTTTTAAAATGAAAATTATTAACGTTATAACAACTGTACAATTATCATTAAGAATAAGTCGGAAAATTTGTGAAACTGCACCCTGATGATTCCTTTAGAGATAGTTAACAGATATGTAATGTTCAAATTCAGAGAACTATATACATATATTACTTACTTACTTACTTGGACGAGGTTCGTGATTAAACTTAACAAAACCACACAACAAGCACTTGAACAAACATCTGTACTTCCGCAAAACTTCTACCTCTGACACATTGTTTCTCACAAAACCGACGATGCTCATCACAATGGAGAAGTACACAACAAATGGGCGTATAATACACACCTGTATAATGACTCATTTACTATGTTCACTGTAAAGGAATATACCATTCGAAGATAACATTACCCTTGGAATACGCCCATAAATGTTGGGTGAAAAAACACACAAATTCTTTTAAACGTCATTATATGATATCTATTTATCCACAAACCTCCCTGCTATACAACTTTCTTAGAAGACGTCAACGAAGAATGGCAACAATTAACTTTATGTAATACTGTTTTTTCCTATTTGTCCTGCCAAATTATAAAGTTACGCATGAGCAGTAGCACTCAAGCCTACTTACTAAATTTGTCATGTTTCTACGGCTTACCAATGGTGTCATCTTACCAACTTCATGACAAACTGAGATCTTTGAATCTTTTCTAAGCATTACAACAATGACTATGCTAGGTCAAAGTATCAAAATACTACTACATATAAAATCTAAAACCGTGTTGAATTTAATCCGCTTTATCATAAATTTCGTTTTCTTATTATAATTGACGCAGTTTTTGTACTTGTTTGTTAAGTGCAAAGCTAGACAATGGGTTATATGTGCTCTGCTCGCCGTAGGTATCGAAACCCGACTTTTTGTGTTATAAGCACTCATACTTACTGCTGAACCACCGGCTGGTCTTCGTACTTGAGTTACTACACGAGATCTAAATGTTCGTTAGCAAGCATTATAATGAATATTTCACAACTAATTAATCAGACTGTAAGTAATAAGCCATGTTTTCAAATTCAACATTTTATATCCAAGCGTAAGAAAAATAAGTGGAATTTTCTAAAATAGCTAAAATAAAGAAAAGCACGATCGTATTGTTAATATGATCCCATCATTAAGAATGTATATACGACTGTCGTTGTTAAACAAGTTACTTTTTTCTGGCTTCGTCACATGAGCTTTGCAAACCGGTGGATAAGAGGATTGTAAGCACACACAAAAAGTTCGACAGGTTAGGGTCTGTTTGTTGAATTTCACGAAAAGTTACTCGAGGAGGCTATCTGCGCTAGCCATCCTTAATTTTGAGGTGATAGACGAGAGGGAAGTCAACATCGCCAACTCTTGGGTTACTCTTTACCAATGAATAGTGGGATTGACCGTTATATTATAACGTTTCCACGACTGAAAGAGCGAGCATGTTCGGTGACAATATTCTAAATCGTGACTCGCAGATTGCGAGTCGATGTCC